AAAAACAACTGGACCCAGATATATAAAAGATCAGCATGATGGGAAATTACTTCTTGCTCCATGGAATTTCCAAGTTTACAGGGTATGGGGAATGTCTCCTCCACCAAATCACTTGAGAATCCAAACTGAGGGCGACTTCTCTAACTTCAGTATGGAGTGTGCAAGGTTGCCTTGGAGATCATACTCCCAGTCAGTCAGGATGGGAAATGAGCATGGAGGCGTACTTTTAAGAGATCGGGGGGAGGGGGGGAGGGGTGCAGGGGAGGGGTATTCACAGAATTGACTATAGGTGCATGTACAGGAGAAGCTGGAAAATGTAGTTTAGGATAAAGAAGAACATGTTTTCTTGGATGCCTGCAAATAGCCGCCACCCAAGTTGGTCCCTCCACCCGTGTGCATATTTACTCCTGCCCAACTGAGACAACCTAATTACCCACTAGTTAGGGAAGTATGCCCAAAGTCTATTAGGTTTGAATTTGGTTCCTTATACTCTAATGACCTATGAATTGAGAGAGAAGTTATGAGTCCCTCCACACTCAACATTAGGGCAAAGGTGGGTTTGTTGTATGAAAACTCCTGTTTAAGAAAGGAAAAAATGAGAAACACATCACAGTTCCTAGTTTATGGTAGGATAGAATCTGGCAAGGTAGTCATCATGGAAAGCCCCTTCCCAGGGACCTAAAGAAAGTTTTTGATTATATCCAGTCTGCTTTCTGGGTGGATATTCCCTTCTTCTTCAGTGTATCCTGTGGCCCTTGGCTCTGCCCTTTGAGAAGTCCCTCCTTGTTGTCTTCAGTGTTTACATCTGAAGTGAGTGGGATGAAGTATATCCTACTTGGAAATTTCACAGTTTGGTCAACTATTTCCCTGCTGGTGAAATTCCTGGCATTGACTGGATGTGATGATCACATTCTTCTTTGCCCCATTACAAGGAGATGAGGATTTCTTCTTAAATTTTTATTTTATTCTTATTTTTTTTATTTTATTATGTTATGTTAATCACCATACAATATATCATTAGTTTTTGATGTGGTGATCCACGATCCATTGTTTTGATATAACACCCAGTGCTCCATGCAGTACATGCCCTCCTTAATACCCATCACCAGGCCAACCAATCCCCCCTCCCCCCTCCCCTCCAAAACCCTGTTTGTCTCTCAGAGTCCATATTCTCTCATGGTTCATCTCTCCCTCCGATTCCTGCCCCCCTCTCATTTTTCCCTTCCTTCTCCTAATGTCCTCCATGCTATTCCTTATGTTCCACAAATAAGTGAAACCATATGATAATTGACATTCTCTGCTTGACTTATTTCACTGAGCATAATCTCCTCCAGTCCCATCCATGTTGATGTAAAAGTTGGGTATTCATCCTTTCTGATGGCTGAGTAATATTCCATTGTATATATGGACCACATCTTCTTTATCCATTCGTCTGTTGAAGGGCATCTCGGCTCTTTCCACAGTTTGGCTATTGCGGACATTGTTGCTATTAACATTGGGGTGCATATGGCCCTCTCAAGTTTTTAATATAACATCAGACTTATAGAAAAGTTGAAAGAATAATGCCCAAATCCCCATACCCGTATCACTGAAATTCCCAAATTGTTAATAATTTTATGGGCTTGTGGTTTCTGAGACAATATAATTCCATTAAAAATGTATATGCTTCTGATAAAGTTCCACGTTCCAGTCATTTCCATGTTCCAGTAAATGCTGCCAAAATTTTTTCCTAGCCATAATTTTTAAGTCAGCTCTATTAAGCTGGCTTTATTTCTTTGTTCTTCCTCTTTCTCCATCTCTCTCTCTCTGCCTCTGTCTCTCTCTCTCACCAATATTGCTTTAAGGTCATTTGAAACAGCAGGGGTGCAGGAGAAGATGGCCCTTCTCAAGGTGATTTTCGCAGGAGCTGAAGCTCTTTGATTATAATAGTGTCTTAATGTGCTGCTGGTCCTCAGAGCTTTTTTCAGTCTTATCTCTAATTGTTCAGGGTTCAGAGAAGTTTCGTTTTCAAACCCTACGATGCTTTTAATCTAGCTTTCTCTATTCCCTTCAATCTCTGTTGAAAACCAGCTAATTCTTGCCTGAGCTCAGCTCTTTCTCATAATACATGGCTCAGTGTAGCAAATAACAGTCACACATTTATAAACGTTCTAGCTTTTTCTCATCATTCACCCTAGAGCTATGGGTCCAACAGGCATTTGTTCTACCTTCCAAATGATTACAAATGAAGGTTTTCAAGATGCTTGGCCACCACATAGCCCCCGATTCCACTTTGTCACTTGCTGTACCCATCTTTTCTCACCACCTACCACATGACCTCCATTTGTTTTTTGTTGTTAGAGCAAAATTTTACATTAGAACACATTTTAATTTTTTCACAGCAGCACTCCATTTTGATAATATCATTTTTCTACTAGTTAGGGTGAGCTGGGCTATAGAAAAGGGAGCTAAACATGTAATAATTTAACATAGTATCATTCTCGTGCAAACTGTCTTGGGGCATACCTAGGCAATGACCAATCCTGGGAGTAGGGGCACTCTAGGAGTTTTTATTTAGGGCAGAAGAAAGGGGAAGAAATATAAAGCAGTGCTCATGGGTGATTTTTATAAGATGGACCCAGAAATGTGCATATCACTTTCCTCACATTTTACCAGAGTATACTTGGTTACATTCACAGCAATCTGCAAGGGAAATCAAAAAAAGAGCCTTAGTTTTGCCCCCAGAAAAAAAAGAGAAGGTGAGCAGGTAGTAGTCTTCACCTCACTTTTGAATTTCTCAAAAGTGGTTGCATAACTCATGAGGAATCAAATACATGTAAAAATATAAAAGTATTAAGGGTAAAGAAAAGTAAAAGTAAAATATGTTTAACAGAGAGAGCAACAGTAACACTGAATTTATAGTCATTCATAATTTACATTTTATAATTTGAAAGGAAAGACTTCTTCCTTCAGTTTTTTGAATGAATATATATATTCCCCTGGTCACTGTCTCTTTGCTTATACATGTTTTGATATCAGTGATGATGAAATTATTATTATGCTGTGAGGTTTTATATTTTGTTTCAAGAGTAATGTGCATCTTGTCAAAAAAAAAAAAACGGCAGAGAGGAAAATTTCAAGTTTCAATAAAGCTCTAATTTCTGATCACTCTGTGGCTTAGATACAATTATACCAGTCATAAGGCAAATATTACTTCCCTTTTTTAAGAAAACCAGTATCTTTTAACAGTAGGAAGGACTTTATGTGTCTACATAATTCATTTCTGTTAGGGTTGTCATGTTTGTTTTACTGATATAATTCAGGGGTTTGTTGTGGCAAGGGAGAAGAACACTGGACTACAAAATACATGGTAAATAGTACATATTTAATATTGACTGTGGAGTATATTACATTACTCCTCTTTCTAGTTTATACATCTGAAACAAAGGGATTTTAACATATCCTGAATGTGGTCAAGGACCATAAACAATATCAGTGTGGCAAAGGTATTCCATATGTACATAAAAATTAAAGATAATGATTATATTTATTAAGCAATGATTAACAGAGCTTATTCAATCTTCATGAAACCTATGGTAGGTCCTGTCATTGTGCCTGTTTTACAGATGAGAAAATCGAGGCTCAATACTCTCAGTACTTACCCAAGATCCAAAAACAAAAAATAAAATAATAAAGCTACCTACAGTGATAGAATATAAACATCTATCTATCCGATCCTAAAATTCAGTCAAAACTGCCAGTATAATATATTGCCCTATATTATAATAGCAAATACTTCTATAGCATTTAATCAGCACCAACATAATTCTAGCAGCTTAACATCTATTAACTCATTTAATCCACATAACTAAACAGGGTAGGTATATTACTATTATGCAAGAGGAAAATGAAGCATGGGAAGGTTAAAGAGATTGCTCATGTTTACACAGCCAGTAAAGAGGAGAGAGCTAGGATTCATCCCCCAGCTGTTTGGCTCCAGGGTTTACATATTTAACTACTTCTCTATGCTGTGTCTCACATAGTGCTCAATTCCAACGAAGAACAAATTGTATTAGAGGAACAAGTGACCCATTGGCACCCCGAGTAAAGTGCCTTCTTATAATACATGATTATTAAACTGTTTATATCCTATTGCCTTTCGGTTAACTGTTGGTTATTGACTAAACACGTAACATTGTCCATCTGAAAAAATACCTTTTGTTTATCTGTTGCTCTGCAAGCTTCATATATATTCAGGCCCTGAAGTCTCTTTTGCTAGAAATAATTAAAATTCATAAATATGGCATTCCTCTCTACACACATTTTAGTGTGTATTTCAAACCAGGCGAGACATGATGAGATTATGTTATACACCCAGCATGACTTTAGTTATGAATGACAGTCATATCTCATATCCTCAAACCTATGATACTTTTCTATTTCTCTCACTCAACCAACATTGCAGTGTTATAAATAACTTCAAATTTAATGACAGCATGAACATGTACCTTTGTTGAGAAGTTGAAATTAAGTTGTTTTTTTTACAATGAAAGTGAAGTTTTATTGTTAAAAAGAAGAAACTTATGGAGAGTAATGTATTCTAAAAGATATCTTTCGGCCCATCACACCCTACATAGTCAATCATCATGACTTTGATATCAAAACAAAACAAAATGAATAGAAGATTAAAATGATGACAATGAATGCATGCACTCTGGCTTGGATTTAAAATCTAAAGCCAATTTTCCTTTACCTGGGAAATTTGATCTTCCACTAGTTTCTGTTTTTAAAAGGTTATTTTACCATGTCTCCAAACCATATGTGCAAATGCAAGTATGATGATCAAACTGAACCCTGGCCATGAGGGTTGAGTGGATGGCCCTTGTGCAGGGCCACATGTGGGGAATCTGCTCCTTGGGGCTAGTCCTCTAAAGGAGTAGCACTGCTACAGTGTGAGTCCTGAATTCTGTTGAATACCAACCTCCCACTTGTCCATCCTTAGATTTAGATAAATTTCTTACCAGAATCCTTCTGAGAAGATAATGCAGGGATTCCTTGTTGAGGCAGTCAATACTGCCTCTGCTCAGCAGCATACTTTGTTCACTTTATTAATCAGTCTTTCCTCAGCACTGTCATAGGTTTAGGACCCAGGAGAGAGTTAAAGATGTGACCTGAAGACAGCACCTCTAGAGTTCCACTGAACTGGAAACATTATTCCTGAAAGCACAGAAAAGGAGTGCTCTCTGAAAAGAGAATTAAACTTAGTATAACTGATAGAGGTAACTAAGCATCAATACACTCAGCAATAAGCTCTATCAAATGTCTTCCTCTAATTTTAAAACTCACAGCACCAGAATATAAATGTGTTCCCTAAAAACAAGTAGTAAAGTATCCCATTTTCTTTCCCATTTATTTATACCCAAAATCTCTAGAAAAGTACCCAGGAATGAACATTATCTCCTCATTCTACAGTTAGGGAAACAGAGACATTGATGGATTAATTAAACAGATGACACCACTGGTTTAAAATTTTTTGCCCCTAAAGCCAGAGATGTTCCATAAAAATATAAAACTACTTTTTTTTAAACTTTGGGTTAAATGAAATGAGAAAATTAAACAAATGCGTCAATGTTGCTCCCCTAAGATGTGCATTTCCAAAACCGAGATGGGATAGGTGATTGTAAATGCATTACTCAGGTATTCCATTACTTATAATCTTTAATGAATGGCTTAACAGTCTCTCATTAATGGGTACTATCTAATCTTAAAGTAAGGTGTTCCCTAATGAGTGGATTTGGCAGCATGAGTGGATAGAATTCATCCATACCAAAAGCCTCATCTTCAGTGAAAAGCAAAGGCCACTAAGACACATAAAAATATTTCCTAAACTTGATCTAGAGGCTGTATTTGGTTATATTCTATTCTTTTTACATTTTGTCACCTTATTCACCTTGGATACAAATCTAAGTAATATTTGTAAACAGATTAGAACTTCACGTAAATAGAATAAAACATTTAAATACATACTCTTTTGTTATCAGAGTATTTCCCTTAGGAAAAAACCCTTCCTCTCAAAATTTAATTTGAATAGTAGGGTGAGAAACTGTTAATGACCATTTATTTTGGAATTGCTTATCTAATCTAATGTCAAAGACTTCAGAAAGTTCACCGAATTCTTTTGATTCATTTTTTACTGTATCATTAATTACAAATGTGTTCTGAATGAAGAATGGTGTATATATTTCTGTTACCACATTTTCTTGATCCATATTCCCAGAGATAACATTTTCCAGTTTATTCCAAGCTTTCCATAATCATCTTTCTTAAGGTCAAGAAAAAGACACAATAATGAGAAAGAACAAACAGCAGCTAACGGAAGGAGCAGTTCATAAAGGGCTGTAATGGCAATTCCACCCAGACAGCAAAGGAATGCAGCATTTTCACTGAGCGCTACCTGACAGATTCAATAATCAAGGGAAAGCCTTAATTGATGACACTTCATTAGCATAATGAGTTGAAGCTGGGAAAAGAGAGTCCCTTATTAATTAATCAAGCAAAGCAAGAACTGTTTCAGTCTCCTACACTCTGTCATTTTCCATTAATCAAGAAAATGTGTGTTAAACTCATTTGAAATCCCGGCATGTGGATTATCATTCCAAGAAAGAGCAATGGCAGAACGGTTTGCCCAGTTGCACACATCTGCTCTGGACTCATGCATGCCTCCAATTCAGATTTGCAAGGCTGAAACCATGCACAGAGAACACAGAGTAAGTGTTCTCCAAAACATGTAAATCAGCATCTCATTAGGAAAGTAAACAAAACCCCATCAGCCTCACTAGGAAAAAAAAAAAGAAAAAAAAAATATTTTGCCATGCTTCGCCTATTGTCCAAAACCTCTGTTGCATGAAATACATATGTATTACACAAAGTTAATATATATAATATATATATTATACACAAAATTTTTATAACCTGTTCAACATCCATAACTGATTCCAGATTCACTATTTCTGGCTCTTCATATTCTATTAGGTCACAAGAGAAATGATGATTGGTTGTGGGCTCTGGTACAAAGAAGTTATACACCCTAGGTCCCCAACTAACCACAGGCACAGGTGTTGAGAATCAATGCTAATGAGGTTAACAAGCCAAGATCAAAACTACGGAATCCCTATAGCAGAATGGACTTGAAGAGAGACTAAAACCAGGATTCTATTATTGTAAGGTCACTTCCCTGTGTTGTATTTTATAATCTTCAGGTGAGAGGTGGCTGTCAACACATTAATAAGCTAAAGAGAGCATAGAGTTTTGAAAACAGATCACTGGAAAGGAAGTCTATAGACTTGGATTTTGTATGTAACTTTGACAACCACTAACTAGTTATGTGGCTTAGTTCAGTCCCTGGATGATAAGAGTGTTACTTTATTCCTAGATAGTATGAAGTTTGAACTAGAGGAACTCTTAATTCTGGTTTTTATAGTCTAAGATCAAAGGCCATTAAGAAAAGAAAGTAATCAGATCAGGCAAGGGTCTGATTTACTCAGGTAACCAGCTATGGAAATGTTAAGCAGTTTTATAATAATGGGTTAATCAAACTCTTTACTTGCTTTGAATCTCTTTGTGTCGATGTCTCCACATATTGTCATGCCAATTGTGCACTATCCAGACAGAGACTAGAGGTGACCAGGGCTCTCTATAGAATTATGTGATGCCCAAGCTGCATGGTCACACGTGACAGCTGTGCAAACCCAGCCAGGTAAAACCAGTCAGTTTGTCTGTCCATCTGTGCCTGTATATTTCTTATTGATCTATACCTGCTCCAGTTCAAAATGGATGTCAAGACTTATACAGAGAAAAATTGTATCCACTGTCTATTTATCAGCATTATTTTTAAGTGTTTGATATTCAAAAAACAAATTTGTTTGACAGAAAAGTGATTTATCTAAATATTCAAGTGGGTGCATTAAGCCCAGTAACAAAGTAAATCCACATCTGAAGCACTCTGGGCATTCTAGAACCTAAGTGCAGTGATATACAGATCACCAGAAAAGAGCCATTACTGCTCCAGGGGCTCTTTCAGGCAGCCAAATTTGTCCCAAGTGCTGAACATTAACTCTTTGAGCTCTGAGTGGAGATGGGCATTACCTCCTTGCAGGGCAATAACTTGTATCAATTTGGAAAGAGCTCAGCTTTGTGATGAGGAAGATTTTATAGTAGTAAATTGTATTTGGTAACTTGAAAATGGCTGAAGCCATCACCTATAACACAGGATGATGACCGGGGACTGCATGTTCTCAGGAGCTATTTTTTCTTATAAATATTTCATTGATTTTTCAGACCCACAAAGATTCCCTGTTGTCATAAAGTTGGTTTAATACATACAAAAGACTTTGTTCTATGCATATAAAGTGAAATCTCCTCTCAGGTATAATAGAAATAAGAAAAATGCCTCTTATACACAGGATCTAACTATTTTTGAATTCCAACTATTGACTTTCCAGGAAGACTTTCAGACCTTGTCACTATCTGCTGAGTATTTTTGCAATGTTCTGTTTTTGTGTAGAAGCATTATCAGCCAATAAAGAAACATAAAACTGATTTAAAAGTGAGAAAACATATCATATACCAAAAACAAAGTTAGCATAAACACAAGCAAAAATGAAAAAACAGCCAGAGAATTCTTTTTCTTGGATTCTGAGAAATGCTATCAGAAATATGTTTATTTCAATAAATATCAGACAGCTGCATTTTGATAAAGAATGACTCTCCCCTATTGTTGTGAAAATAATAAATTCTTATAAAAAGGTAAGAACTGAGATCAATTAAAAGGATGAAACCCGGGGCGCCTGGGTGGCACAGTCGGTTGGGTGTCTGCTTTCAGCTCGGGTCATGATCTCAGGGTCCTGGGATTGAGCCCTATGTTGGGCTCCCTGCTCTCAGGGAACCTGCTTCTCCCTCTCCTCCCTGCCCATGCTCTCTCTCACTATCTCTCTCTCTCAAATAAATAAATAAATAAATAAATAAAATCTTAAAAAAAAAAAAGGATGAAACTCATTATCTTGATAACCTGAGAATATAAAGGCTGAAAGAATTGCTTCACCTAAAACAGAGCAAAACAACAGAGCCATTTAAAAGAAAATCCTACAAATAGAGATTTAAATCTTTTCAAATTTTAAAGTACATTTATTTTAAAATGTAGCTTGAATTTTAGAGAGGTGCAAGTTAGTTTAAGGGCTTGCCTACCAACCCACCTTTGAAATGATTTTACATCTGAAAAAACCAACCATATTCGAATATCAAGTATGAACTTAGTTCTTGTTTTGGGACAATGCATTATCCTTTTCAGCCCATTTACAATACTATTTTGTGTGTTGGAAGAGTAATGCCCCAAGTAAATAAACAGATAGATGAAACCACTCATAAAATACATGCAACATACAAGGCACACATCTGGAGGGAAATGAAATGAAAGTTATTCAAAAGTTCAAAAATATTATTAGAGAAAGGCAACTTTAGAATAACCTTACAGGGGCACCTGGGTGGCTCAGTCGGTTGAGCGACTGCCTTCGGCTCAGGTCATGATCCTGGAGTCCCAGGATCGAGTCCTGCATCGGGCTCCCTGCTCAGCGGGGGGTCTGCTTCTCCCTCTGACCCTCTTCCCTCTCGTGCTCTCTGTCTCTCATTCTCTCTCTCAAATAAATAAATAAAATCTTAAAAAAAAAAAAAAAGAATAACCTTAAATGTACCAGAAAAGTTACATTATATTTAACTTCATATCTGCTATTTTCCATAAACCTTTAAGAAGGGTAGGAAACAGCAGAAGAGGATGAGGAACTGCTTTAAAAAGTAAGCACATCAAAGAAAGATCTAGATGTCCACTGTCTTTGTGTATAATTTCTTGTATGTCCAACTCATAATTAAGCAGAGAATACACTGACTACTGCTAGGAAAGAAAAAAAAAAAGTCCATCCACAATTTCAAAGCCTTTTGTTTATTCAGTCATAAAGCACACTCTGTAGTCAACAGGTCAGAGACAGGTTAACCATGACCATTTATCATCATTTAATATTTCCTGAGGATCTCCTGGATCTATTGTACTCCACAAGATACTGTGTAGACATCAGAGCTCAGGCTCATAGAGAAGGAGTAATGGTCAGGTGACAAAATGAACAAGTGATGAAGGCAGAAACAAAATCTCTATCTTCTAATTGCCAGGT